TTCCGCTCCTGCGGCCTGCCCGAGGTACATCCATTCTTTCCCCACCAGACACCATCCCTTCTTCCCCTCTCCTTCTTTCAGTCACTCATCCCCTTCTCTCATTCACCATGGCCTCTCTCTTTATCCCTCCCGGTCTGACTCTCTCCATGCCTGTCCTCATTCTAATGCATTCAGGGGGCGGACATTTTATCTGGCATTGAGTCCTGTGACACACATTTCCTCTGTGTCAGTGAAGTCTCGCTCTGAACTATAAAGCCAGCTGGGGGGGGGGGGGGGGTGTTGGCTCACAGAATCAGGCTTATCTGAGGAAGGGGGAATAGTGGGACGTTCCTCACAGGCGTCCCTAGCTCCCATTTTAAGTGACCTTCATGACCCTCCCTGCACTCGGTGCCGTGTGCCCCCACCTTTGCGCAGCCTGGGCATCCCTATGGTAACCAGTGCCTCTGTACTGGCTCTCACAAAAATAGAAGACTGAGTGCCTGTATCTATCAGCTGAAGCCAAAGCTAGCTGCTTATCTTAAGCTTTCACTCAGCCTCCGTTTATTTGGTTAGCTGACTCTAAACCAAAGCGACTAACTACAGAAATTTAGGTTAAGTACATCGCTGCAGGGTATTGCAGCCTGTCCCCTTTTGGGACTCGACCCAGCAACCTCCAGGTTACGAGTCCATGCGCTCCACGGCCGTGCGACCTGCTGCGTGTCGATGGAAAGATTACTGTAGACTTCAGATTGTTAATGCCAGTTGTGATGTCTTTCTTTAGCTCGTCTTCCAGTCCCAGTGATGCTTCAGGCCCCTGGGAGACCTAATTCCGCAGGATGTCGGGTCTCGGCGCCGAGGCGGAAATGAGAGATAAGAGGAAATAAAACAGAGGGAAGGGGAAACTGTGAAAAAGGCAGGGTGCTTGTCGGTGTGCGTTTGGTGACGAGTACCTGCGGGCTCGTCGCTCTGATGCCGCGGAGGTCTTCCTCTGAAGCGTAAACCGCGTAATCGAAGGAGCGTGGAAGAAAAGAAGGCAAAGATATGGAGATGTCTTCAGAATGCGCCAGATTGCCCGAGAATAATGAAATCCGCTATGATTCAGTCCCGAAAAAACCCAGCATCACATGATTGAGCTCTGAAGTGAACGAGTTTGCAGCGACGGGGAGATGAATCAGTGCGAGTCAGGGGGTGGCATAAAAAGGGGCAGCGCTGAAATGCAGCCTGGCACAGTGTGCGCTGCCTCAGAGTCTGAGAGAACCTGCCCCCCCACCCCCATGGACTCATTAACAACGGTGCTTTTGAAAACTGGATGGAGTCCTTAACTCTAGAATTACCAAATCAGTCATTTCATACTTCGAAGATTCAAGAGTTCAAAGTCGGTCTGAATATGATAATTGCAACCTACGGTCCACTGGCGCTATAATTTAACCACAACAAGAAAAACTGGTTTCTTTACTTGACCAATAATGTGTAATTTGAGTGGGTTCTTGGGGGGGACCCTGTGCTGGCCTCCCCCTGCATGCATTTCTCACTGCCAGCCAAAACGGGGGGGGGGTCACCATCAGGGAGGGAGGCCAAGAAATGGTGCAAACGGGGATTCATGCCTCACCAGTGACACGCACCAAAGCTGTGACCGTTTCTCAAAAATGAAGGAGCCCTCCTTGGGTCATGTGTAGGTGAGCATGTGTAGCTCCTCCTCCAGAAGATCACCGGTCCAGGTGACTCCTCCCCTATCTGCTGAACTACCCCGTCTTCATCAGATCAGCTCCTGACTGCAGAGGAACCCCCTGCAGATCCGTACACGCGTGGCTGTGTGGGTTTTGCTAATAAGCTTCAAATCCCATCGGTGTTGCCTAAGTATTTCTCTATAAATGGCCACTCTGACTCTGATATTGCTTGTCCACTCTATAACGATAAGTAATTTCAGTCAATCTGCTATTATTACTTCACTAGGGAGTCCCACATTTGCCGCTCGCGTGTTTAATAGTTCTTGCCACAGTGTGTTGTCTTGCGATTAGCGATTAAGGAACCTTTCGGGCATGTGTGGGAGAGTTCAGAGTTAAAAAAGAAACCAGGAATGTGCCAGAAAACACAAATCCAACCTTCTTAGAGCCAACCTGACATTTGAACAGAGTGCAGTCAAGGTGAGCAGGCGGCTGGAAACGTGATGTAACAGAGCAAACCTGAGATGCCCCCTGCTGGCAGAACGACGTTTCCTCCCCTGAATCAATTTGCTGCGAAGACGAAATGGACGGCTGCCATGACAAGCGGCCTTTGACGCTTGTATTTTGTAATTAATCTTTCTAAATCGATGAGTCAGAGGAGGAAAATGATTCCGATTTGCGTGTCCTCTTCTTCATTACTCTGCAGCAGTGGTGTTTCGTAAAAGCTTCTACTTTTTCCACGCAGTTTCGGTTTTCTGCATATTGCTCATTTGTTCGGCTATTTCCACGGTTCAGGCCTTGAACCGGCAGCCTTCTCCGCTTTTTCTTGGCTCAGGTTATAAGCCCCGTCTCCTTCACTACCCAGCAACAATGCTGCTTTGGGGCACAGTATCCATTATTGTCTGACTGTGACCAACGTTGGTGATAAGTTGGCCATGTTATCTCTGCGGACCTCTCATAGAGCTCGGCGGTGCCCGCGGGTTGCCTTAGGGAGAGACGGGCAGATTTTTAGCAATAGCTGTAAGCCACATTGCCTGTGAAGTGTAGAGCTGACAGACAGCTTGGAGGATGTATCTAGCGTTGAGGTGGAGGTGTGATGGATAGAAGAGTTCAATAAAAATTGTGGGGGGGGTTGTGTTTTACATGAGTTTGACCATTAAGCTGTGATGTACAATGTACCTCAGGCTGAGTTGGTGGATGAAATACCTGCAGGATCCTCACAGGTATTGCTGTGCTATTTCAGGGTGATTTAAGCAGGACATTTAATTTTGGCCTCTCAGAAAAACAGTCGCTTTAAGTCTGGTCCCAAACACACACCCCCCGGGGCGGCCCTGCAGTGCAGACTGCTGAAGTCCTTCGCAAACTATGATCTTCATATTTTTTTTTTCCCCCATGTCATATTTCAAAAGGAGAAGACTTTGAATTAAGGCTGCAAACAACAGTGATTTGATTGAAGTTCACCGCAGAGGCCAGCCGCCAAGCTGCTGGGAGCGCAAAGTTTGCTAATTTCCGTGTCAGTCGCTGAGACACCCACCCTGAATGATGCCAATCTGTAGCGCTGCCATCGGCAGCCTTTGCCCAAGGTCGGGCGCAAGCAGACTGCCGGCTGCCGCAAACGCGCAGCTCTTACTGTCGCCGCGAGCTCTGTTGCGTGACACAGCGTGATCTGGGGTCTCAACAGAGTTGAGTGAAAAGAAAGCAATCGACTGGTCAGGAACGGTCTTGGGGAGGGGAGGGGAGGGGGGGGCACCTGCATGAATGAATCTCGACATTATGAAATCAGAGTTGAATACCGGCATCCATGTGAAGCTGTGCGTTTAAACTACCTGCACTAATATATTTAACTGACATTGGAAAGCAGTTTATATTTATTTGCATGTATACACTATTAAAGCATGGTATGCAACACATGTTGACGGGCATTGATTTATAGTAAAAAAAGGAAAATCTGGATTTGTATAGGAACGTCTACAGACTTTAGTGGAACATTTCGTGAGAATTTTTATGCCTTGAAGTTTTCCTTCGGCTTGATGGACGCTAAGCATGGCTATTGGTGAGCCAGACATCAGCATGGGCGGGCCCAGATGCTCTTACCAGTAGGACAGACACCAGCTTCCAGATGTTTACACCAGTAGGGGACCGATTATACAGTTCCGTTTCCAAGGCGCGCGGCATCATTTAACTCTTCCCAAGACATTACCCCGAGCAAAGCACGAATACAATCTTGCACTTTTACGCACCGAAATGTCCCCATACTTATATTCAGCCGGCATTATTAAATTCCCTACGTCTCTTATTTGTCTGTCACAGACAAGTATTTACATGTTTGTTTCCCATTGGCTGGCATTGATGAAGGTGGAGTTTGAGTCTTGCCTCTGGAGCGCTTTCTGAAAAAAAAAAACATCTGAGTTTGTTAAAGCTGATGCCGTTTGCAAGGGAGCGACAGAGTATCGCTTCAAATATAATAAAGGTTCGCAAAATGAAAACCTATGGAATGCAATCAATGCCACTATATAATAAGTTATCTGAATTATAAGCGATTGCAGGACTAGGTCGCCGCTGCCTAGGAAAAGCGCCAGAACTTCCATGGGGAACATGAAGGAGGATAACCTAAAAACCTAAATGCTTTCAAACGAATCGGTCCGAGTAGACGCTATGAGCGGGGATTCCTCGCCGTGATGTTCCTTAGAGTGTAGACCGGCTTGGAGTGTTATGAGGCGCCATGGCGTGGCGTGATCTTGGGGTTCAGATGATTCTGGCGACCGCGGGGGCTTTTACAGCTTTCAGCCTGATGACTATCGCTATAGGCACGGACTACTGGCTTTACTCCCGAGCCTACATATGTAACACCACCAACACCAGCGTGGACGATATCCAACCAAAGAAAACCAAAGGCGATCTTACGCATTCCGGGCTCTGGAGAATCTGTTGTATCGAAGGTACCCAACACGCTTGTTAATTTTTTTTTTCCTATCGTTAAAATATGTTAAAGTGATTTAAAGTAGTTAAATTATTTTTTCAGCGTCGTAAAGGAAACGTGCGGCGAATGCTGTCTGTGCAATAATGTGCATTACATGACGAGGGTCTGTCCGTCCCAGTTTAGTGCCAGCGTTACCCAAAAATATAAGTCGGGGAAACGTTATATGGCGAGGGAGCGGCACTAATCGGAAGGGAGAAAAGTACCATTCAACACAGGGTAGTAACAAGGTACCATGACGGAAAGTAAAGTTAACAGGGGATCTACTGGTGCCTGATTAACAATGAAGACGCATGCAGGCGGAGAACTACATCCCAAATGAACCTAAGGGTAGCCTTTATAAGATAAATTGTAAAACACTAGCGGTCATATGATTAGATGGTAAGCCTCAGTTTTATATAAAAAAGACTAAAGGTATATAACTATTCAAGTATCAATCATAGTATAAATCTCTCTGGGTTCAAGTCGGGATATTGTAACGTGAAAAAAGTGTTAAAACCTTAGACAGTCCTGTTTAATAAAGTGCACTCTGGGAAAGACTGACCCAGCACAGACTAGAGATGCAATTCACGACTCTGCCTTCATTCAGGTCTTTTTTTGTATTTAATGCTGTTGCTTGGCAACCACATCTCCGAAATTGCTATGGAAACATAGATACGATTTAAAAATAGATGATTTGGTAAGCTTTTTGCCATTGTTTAGGAAAAAAAAAAACCAAAAAAAACGTTATGAATGAGATTTGGAATTACTTTCTTATGTTCTGTGATAATGACTGCTGTCTTCCCGTGTTTAGTCTAGGTTTTGAGCTCATTAATTGTTCAGTGTTAATATAACGGTGGACTGATGTTTCCGTTCAGGTTTTACCTATAGCTACTGACGCCTTTAACTGCGGGACAAAGCTTTAATTTAACCGAATAACGGTCATTATAAAATATGTACCTTTAGATTATCTACCTAGTGCTTTCACAGAATTTAAATTCCTTTTCTTTATTATTTTGTCTGTAATAATGTAGATATACGCCATTTACAGTAACGGATATTTTATATATCTTCCCCCTTTGCCTATTATGAGTGTTAAAACTGAAGTAACTTGCATCTGTCTGGATTCGAACAATATTTCGATTGAACGATGCCTTCGTTTAATCGATGGTTCGTTATTAAAAACTTTGAATTTAATACTGGTCATGAATTTTCCATTCATAACTGTTATTAATATGTTTTATACGACATGGTTGGACGTATTCTTTTTTTTTGTTGTTTTTTATGTTCTGTAGATGAAAGGAGAGGTTTTCCGCGCTGTTTCTGAAGCCGAGCGTCCGCTTATGTAAAGCGCGCCTGGGGGAGGCGCTGGTTCGGGGTCCGCCGGACCCCCGGGCTTCAGCCTCCGCAGGCTTATAGCGGCGCGCCGTCAGTGTGCTGCCGAATCGCATGCAGGTCTATAACGCATTTTGATTTTGGAGACAATTCTTGAATTTCAGGTGATACACCCTTTCACATTGGTCCAAATCTGATCGGAAACGATATTTTCATATATTTATTCATTCTCTGAGAATTTATGAGTTCTTAAGTTAAAAGAACAGTGAGTTGCTGGGAGTTCTTACGTAAAAAATTAAAACGAATATTTAAGTTGGGGGTGTTTAATAAATCTGGATATTTATATGGTTATTTGAGGGGTTATAATTAATTTGCGTAACTAGAGTATACCTGTGGCCATATATGTAATTTTCAGGGACACGGAAACGTTGTTTAGTGTCTTAGGTGTACTATGTACAACTAAAGTATTGTATCTCTCAATCGTGCTTCCCCTGGTACTTCTGGTTCAGTGGCACTAGTTGGATACTCTAATACTCTGAGACGTACTCCGAAATACTCCGAAATATTAAGGTGATGCTGCTCTAATTTTCCAGCGCACAAACTCACTGTAATGCCAAATGTAATGAATAAACTTGTGATAAATGCTTGGTTCCAGTATGGTCACTGTCTGATTTTGTTAAAATATTACTGTCCTGCTGCATAATGGATCTACCCCAAGAGAAGGAGTTTTTGACATACATAGCTGGGTGGAAGCAGATGTTAGGGCTCTTCAGATTTCCATCGCTCTGACTTTCTCCCATTTGTTTACCACCTGGTCCCTGCTGGATGACCTATGGAAGGACGGCATGGCCCCGTTGTCATGGAGATGCAAATTAGCGAGACACAGATAGGCAGGGAGATAGGTGTGCGAATTGATGGGGCCTGATCAAATGCATGGTTCCCTGAGACAAACACGGCGATGCTTTGGCGGGGGCTGCTTTTTCTAAGAAGTGTCCGAGCACCACAGCTCAACTGAGTGATGCGCGTTTGCGTGTTTTGCTTTTGTTTTAGATAATTATACCACATGCTGCTTTGCCTTAATAGATGCGCAGCCGTGAAGCCATTTTTTATTTCGTTTTATTACTTACTAGCAAATGGTGGTTGTCGCTGCGTAATCAGGGAGTTGCAAACAAGGGAATTTCTGTTGTACCCTTGTTGCACTCCAGCCCCTTTGGCTGAATTACTTCAATCAAATAACCAGGTGTGCAAATGGGTTGCGGCGCGCCGAGGGCTGTGTAAATTACTTTGGGCAAAAGCGTTTGCCGGCGAATGATGCACAGATGGGGCTGTGATTCCCACCTCGCCCCCAAGGTCTGTAATGACCCCACAGTGGCAGGGGGGGTCCTACGCTGTTACTGCCGGGTATAATGATACTCACCTGTGTGTACGTATTATAATTACAAAAGATATTAGTGCATGCAACCATTTTACATGAAAAGTCTAAACAGGGATTCAAACCCACATACGTCTGTGTTCTTTGCGACCTTGGTGGTTTGAGCCCAATCACGCGGCAGCAAGGCCACGGTTATAAGGTGGTGGTATCGCCGGTCCGTGTTTTACGAGGGATGGGAACAGGGGGCCGGTGGCTTATTGGCTTGTAAAGGCGAGAGGGTCCCCCATCGGCCGCCAGCGGATTGGCTTATCAGGAGGTGGGAAGGAAATCAAGTTAGCTGCCGATCCTGGAGGAAATCAGCCATTTCATGAGGCTCGATGATGCCGGAGGTATTGAAATTTAACTGGGCCAGTGCTCCGCAATAAATGATGCCAAAAATATTGCACGTCTGGGGGGGGTAACTGGAAAAGGCGGGGGGAGAGTAAGACGCATACTCGTTGGCAGTCTCTTCTTTCTGTCTTGGATATGCTCTTAATTTATTCACATTTTTATGGAGTCCTTTATACTGTCTTTCTGTCGTTGACCAGCAATGACTGAGGGAAGCCACGGAGGGTGTCATTGGGGGGAGGGGGGGGGGGCTTGGTGTTTTGGGGAGTAGGAAGACAGGTTGGTAAAAGTGACGTAATGAAGAACAATGAAGATGTCAAAGGCATCCTCAGAGGTGCTCTGGAAATCTGATTATTGGTCCGGAGCCGCGGTTGCCATGGAGAGGAGCCGCTGGTCTCTCGGCGACGGCGGCCCGGTAGGATGGGCCATCGCATGGCGGTGGAGTCTGTGCCAGTTGGCGAGTTTTAGCAATTGTTTCGAGACCCGTGGGCCAAACAGCCCTCCATGGATGGGGGGGGGGGGGTCTGGCAGCAGCCCTGTTTAGAGATTTGCTTCCATTCAGATGCATCCTAATGTGCCAAAGGTCAAAGTGCCAGGAGAGGAATTACAATTTAGGGCCCTACTTTTAATAGTAGTTGTACTTTATGCTTCCGCATGAGGGAAATGGAGACTTTTCACATACAGTATCTAGTCTTCTCTTTTATGTATAGAAATGATAAGTCATAATTCTTTTATTTGCCATTTGCACAAGAACAGATACATTGTTGTTCTCCATAGCTTGGGGGTCACAGCACAAGGTCAGTCAACATGCAGCCCGCTGGAGCTGGGGGTTAAGGGCCCTGCTCAAGCGCCCAACGGTGGCATCAGTCCGCTGGGTACAGGATGTGAACTGGCGACCTTCCGCTGGAACTAATCTCTTGGTGCTGTGATGTTCTGCAGCTGTCAGAAGAGAGCTAGAAGAAAAAAGAGAAGAGCAGCTCTTCTGGATGCCATAACACCAGCTACACTTGGGTAGATCGAGCCTGAGCGAGGACGCCCTGCTCTGAGGGCCTTTTTACGTCTTTGAGTAGTTGGCTGCCTGTGATATTTGTGTTCATGCTGAAACATGCAGCCGAGACGCACAGGAGCTGTGATCCTAATCAAAGATGCACAACGTCGCTCTTGTCAAATGATTGACACCCTGTAGCCTCTGATCTAGATGCGGTGATGCGTGCTTCGTCTATAAGCCTCCCCTTAAATAGTTGTCCTTTTTTTTTGACAATGACCAAACTTGTGTCCCACTTCTTGAGACCTATTTAATTATAATTAATAGGCTGTCCCTGATTAAATGCTAGACCCAATTAAAACCCTGCTGTGACACGATGGCATTGTCGTATGGCGGGAATGAGTCGCAGTTCCACCCGAAGGTGTGCGACCTGCGGCGACGGTCATGACGTGTGACCCAGTCCGCGTATTTCCCAACGTGCTTTGAGAGCAAATTTGTCGCATATGTTCAGTGACCACAGTGTATCCTGCCAAGTTAAACAATTGAATTTCCATTGACAGTTTGGGGTTTTTTTCACTCTGCTACTTGGTATTTTTTTTCCACCCCATTTTTCACCAAGTCTGGAGTTAATCCTGCCGTAGATCCTTCGCTCGACACTTGTCAAGAACGATGAAGACTAGCACACAATAGCTGTTACTGCCCCACTCTCTGTCACCCTGTAAGCCTCATCGAGTGACATAACGGGCTCGGCGGTCGACACTTGTTGCTCCGTGCCTGACATTAGGTGTTGCCGTAACGATTCATGAAGGACGGGAACCCGGATGTACAGCAAGGGCCAATTTTGTGTTTCCTGGAGTGTCTTACCACAAACCTACCTTCTCCCCCCACAGGAACCCTGCTATTTAAGGTTAGATACGGAATGTGTCTTTCACTGATAAGGCAAAATATGAAGGACTGGGCTGTAAAGATGCAGACCGTGTGAATTTCCAGGCGACTCTGGACTTTTTGTGATTCGATTATGCCTGGACACATTAAGGGGAACGGTGACTGTCTGCTGAGATGATGACTCTTCACTAAGATGTTCTGCTGCTGAAACAGGATGCCGACATTCACCATGACATTGGTCAAAGGGTCTGCGCAGTCCTGCCTGGCGAATAGACCACAGTGCATGAAAAGGTAACCAAACCACATCTGCACAGCTGTGCCTGTAGCCTGGCACAGTATGCTCCATCCAGCTAGCTGCTGATGCAAGCTGCCTTGCAGTTTACAGTTAGCCAATGTGAGCAGAGTGAGGAGGTAAAGAATGGCCAGGCTGGGTCAGACAGACCACTTCCTCTTGTGTCAGAAATGAACTTGGCGGTATTACACAGGACGTGTCCACTGCCCCGCCGCTGTGCCGAATCTCTCATATGTTTGCACTGTGTAATTGGCCCGCTGCTGTTGAACAGGTCTCATCCTGTTTTTTGTCTCCATGGTTTCAATGAGCTTTATTTCAGCCTGATGTTTTTTTGTGCCTGTTTTTAACATTAAGATACACGGCATTGTGTCAACTGCCATGAGGAATAACGGGGAAAAACTCACTCCGGTCATATGTATTTATAGGTGACTAGGTGGCTCGCCGTCAAGGCTGACTGTCTTCATATCTGCGCAGTCTTGCTGCTCAGCACAATGCGAGCAGCACGTGATCCAGGCTCGAATCTGGGCTCTTCGAAATGTCAGCGGGTCCCCGGCGACTTCCGACGAGCCCGACTCGCACGCCGCTCGCACGTGTGACAGACAGTCGCGGAGAGGGTCAGCCGGGGGCACGGGGGCGGGGCACTGCGGTAGGAGGAGCCACGATGCCTGGGGCGGTGGCGTCTTCCTGGAGTGCTGCTGCTGACCCGCGGAGGCTGTGACGGAGGTCAGGGGTCACGCCGTGTGGCTTCAAAGTCCCTTTGCTGTCTTTTAACCAGTTGCCTTTCAGAGACCCCCCCCACTGAACACGCAGCCCAGACTACATCTAATACTCTCTATCAATGACTCGTGTGTTGTAGGTATTAATAAGGGGAGCTGCTATCGGATCAACCATTTCCCCGATGACAACGACTATGACACGGACAGCTCAGAGTACCTGCTACGTGAGTGCTTCTCGAATCCCCTGGTGAAGCATTTGCTATTTTGGACTTCCAGGAGGATGGGCTCCCCCCTAGAGCCTGGTTCCTCCCAAGGTTTCTTCCTACTCGATAGTTTTCCCTTGCCACTTCTGCCTCTGGCTTGCTCACTGGGCGGGGATAATGTAAAGCGCTTTGAGACGATGTAAAATGACCTAGGTAAATAAATTTGAATTTCAAATTAAGCAGTACGGTTACTTCCCGTATCACGCACTTACGTCGCAAGCAGGGTCGAGTAGCTCTTCCTTCTCTAAGGTACACAGCTGAAGTAGCTTAGAGGCAGCGGTGTGGCTTGGTGAGAACGGAAACCCTGGTCTCTCTGATTGAAAGCCTCTTTGAAGTCCTGCCAGTGCAGGCGCTAGCAGAATTAGCTTGTGATGATGCTATATGCCGCTAATACCTGTTAACCCGTGCTAATGCCTTTTAGCGCGGCGCTAACGCTTTCGTCGTTTCCTTCCAGGTATTGTTCGCGCCTCCAGCGTGTTTCCCATCCTCAGCACCGTCCTGCTGCTGCTGGGCGGCGTGTGTGTAGGAGTGGGTCGTATCTACGGCAACAGGAACAGCATCCTGCTCTGTGCTGGCATCCTCTTTGTGGCAGCAGGTATAACTGAGGCATTAGGTTAGATTCGTGTCAGAAGAAAATAAACGCAGCCACGAAAAAGTCATACATTATTCTGGTTCATTACATGACAGACCGCGGCATCCTGTGTCCGGGGGGCTTGGTGTTCATGCGAAAAAAAAAAGACCTTTTTGTTTCATTGCATGGAAAATTTATTTTTAAAAAAGAACAAGCGATGGCCTTTAATGTATTCACGCTCATCAGAAGCAAACCTGACTCACCGCGAGATTAACGACCTCTCATTGTCACCTCCAGCATCGGAACAAATCGCATCCGTCTCGCAAACGCTGGCGAGCTGTGATGTAACGGATAGTGTTTGAAGGCGGTGACAGATACTGTGCCGGTCATGCATTTCTCCGGCCAGCTGAGGACCGGAAGAAGCTTTTTCCACACAGTCTGAAGTGTGTAGGACAGTGTTCCCCCAATCCGGTCCTCAGGAATCTGCAGACACTCCACGTTTTTGTTCCCTCCAGCACCCTGCCAAAAAGTCCACATTTTTGCTCTCTTCCTGCTCCCTACCTAAGAAGGAGCAAAAACGTGGACTGTCTGTGGGTCATGAACTGGATTGGGAAACACTGGAAGGGTTGCAGTTGCATGGCAACCCTTTAACCCCGCCTCTCTTCCGCTCTGCCCGGCAGGTCTAAGCAACATCATCGGCATCATCGTCTACATCTCCAGCAACACCGGCGACCCCAGCGACAAGCGCGAAGACGACAAGAAGAGCCAGTATAACTACGGCTGGTCCTTCTACTTCGGCGCGCTCTCCTTCATCCTGGCCGAGTCCATGGCCGTCTTGGCCGTCCACATCTACATTGAGCGCAACAAGGAGCTGCGTTTCCGCACGCGGCGCCGCCACCCCCACAAGTCCGCCTCGTCCTCGTCCTCCTCGCCGTATTCCCGCATGCCCAGCTTCCGCTACCGCCGGCGCCGCTCCCGCTCCCGCTCTCGCTCCCGCTCCACCTCCCGCTCCCGCTCCACCGAGCCCTCCCGGGAGCCCTCGCCCGTGGGCATCAAGATAGCCGCTCCGCCTGCAGGGGGCGACGTCTCCATGTACACCCTGACCCGGGACCCGCTCAAATCCGGCACCGCCGCCTCCTACAGTCCCGAGCACGACTCTGACTTCCTGCACATCCACAACTGCTTCCCAAAAGATGTCAACGACACCCTCAATAAGAGGACGACACCTGTATGAAGCACCCCCCCCCCCATATTAGGGCCAATTTTTAAACCTGGCACTAAACAAACTTGTACTAAAGCTGAAAATCAACACTCCTTTGCAGTATTTAAAACGCCTCTCCTGAATAACTAAAACGAGGAAGCCTCCTCTTACCTCTGCCACACGTAAACCCGGAGTGCAGGTGACCTTTCTGGCCTGTAGCGGCCTGTAGTCTTTTATAATTTATTGAAAAGCTTACCTGTATTTTCTGCAGCGAACCAGAACATTTGTGTAGATTTTCATTTTTGGTGCCACACTGTATTGTAACAGTACTTTGTTTCCAGTATTTCTGATATTTTAATTATTCGTTTTCTGATCTTCTGCTTGTTGCAGTTTCTAACCCTGTGACTTATTTGCTTTGAGTCCAGTCACTCAGCTTTGTACTGTGTTCTAATGAATATTTTTAACAGACTCCAATGCAGCGAAAAAAATCCTCCCCCCCCCCTGCCCCCATTGTTGCTGGGTGAGTACATGAGTACAGCACGCCATGCCTGTCTCGTCTGTTTACAGCCACTCTCACCTTTGCACATTCAAGTTCTTCCCGTAAACTACCCATGATGCTCTTCTGGATAAGAGTTACACCCTCATCTGAAACTTTGTTACAAGGAAATCTCATTTCTACAAGTCCAGCCCTTTTTTGGCTCAGGGAGGGAACAGCTCGATTCTGGCTAGATAGATTTCTTTTTTAGTTAAAAAAATATAGACCTGTTTTTTTTTCCCCAAAAGGAGATGATGTTGTGTTAGAGATTTCTACACTTCTATCTCTATTTTGGCGTCAAGGAGCAAAGGAACAACGTAATTTAACTCTGGAACTCTCTCATGTCCGTCTGACTGTAAAGGTATATATAGCAGGATTCGTTATTTAGTTATGGTCAATTAAATGCACATTTGCTTAATTCATTAAGTGTGGAAGGCACTCTGCTGTTATTCACTACCCTGCTCCATTATTTAACAAACAAGTTAACTGGTGATTACAGGCATCCAGATAGACAGCCACCCAGATGTGGTCAGCTAAGGACCCTCATGCATCCCGCCGGACATTCAGACAATCGGCACTTTAAACGTGAGCCGTCCCGCGGCCTAGTGCCACGGTGGAAGAGGCCCAATCCGTGCTTCTGTGAGTGGAATCCAAGGGGGCCGTGATGCTCGACCCGACGCGAAGCGCCGAAGGATGGAGAATGAGGCTGCCAAAGACGCTGGCTCAGAAAACGCGAGTGATTCTTCACTCGTTTCTAAGGAGGCAGCGCAGAGGCCAGCAGGTGTCGGCTCTCGAACCCAAGGCCCTGGGCTTGTTTTTGGTTCTTTCCTTTGATGAATACTGAGAACCTTTATTTATTTATTTGTTTCCCTTTGCAAGCCTTCGGAGGGCTGCCTGATGCGGAGGAAGAGCGCTCTTTCCAGGCTTTGAGTAGTAGACACGCACTGCATTGCTGCCTCTCACATCAGTGAGTCCATATAGGGAAGAAGGCACCGTGAACCCCTACCCCCTCCCACCCCCAAACTGCAGCACCTGCGCAGCCATAAATGGCGAGATAACAAAAGACAGTCTGAACAGAGCTGTCAGTCTGGGAGCTGGGGGCAACTTTGAAGGGCGTGAGTCTGTCTGTGTGGGTGTCGGTTCACGAGGGGCCGGATCACATGCCTCCTGCATCCCCAACTTCCAAAGCACAGTGTGGATGAGCAGCCAGTGAGACATGCTCCCCCCCCACCCCTCGTCTGTGTCTCTGCCCATCATTCATTCAGCCATCTTAGGTCGACCTAGACCACAGGATATTGTGTGGGCTCTTGCACTACTCCTTGTTGATTTGACATTTTTCTGGATGTGGCTGGAATGTAGATCCTTCACCTATGAGTGCTGCGGGTTGCGGTGTGATCATCTGTCCTGATGCTGCTTCCATTAGTATACAAATCCCCCGCTACTACAACCTCGGGATCTTAACTGTCTGACAGCGGAACTTCCTCACTCCAAACCCAACTCATGTCGCCAACAAGACGGCAGCTCTGGCGGATGGCTTCAACTCAGCGTCCCTCAGAAAGCCAGCAGCCAGGACTTGGTGATATTTGCTGGTGGATTTTTTTTGCTGGGGACATTATTTGCTGGAGGATGTTATTTGCTGGAGGATGTTATTTGCTGGGGACATTATTTGCTGGAGGATGTTATTTGCTGGGGACATTATTTGCTGGAGGATGTTATTTGCTGGGGACATTATTTGCTGATAGACGTTATTTGCTGGGGGACTTTCTGTGTTACAGCTTCCCAAAGCCAAAGCACACTTTCACCCTTTGGTTTTTCAGACCTGCACCGTAGCTAGAAGCAGATTAAGACTCAATGTGGACTGGTGCCATAAATATCCTTGGTGTACCGGGATGGCATGCTGTACTGTGTGGGGTTCGAGGGGCCAGCAGTACCCCGGGGCAAGATACTTAGCCTGACTCACTTCAGTGAAATATTCAGCGATATAAATGGTCAAACATGTATTCTGTGTACGTCGCTTTGGATAAGGCCTGTTTGCTAAGCAAATAAAAGCTACAACAGAGCTTATCTAGATGGAGTCCACAAAGCCAGTCATTAAGTCTCTTTTATAAACACGTACAACGAAGGACTCTGTCTTTTATACACTGTAAATAGTATAAAAAGAGAATACATTTATGGCTTTAGCAATCATGTCTTATCAAGGCCTTACCGTTTCATCAGAAATCAGGGGACGAGGAAGGCATTAAGAGCAGAACAGTAATTGTAATGTTGTCACAGTTATTTTCTTTTTTTTTTGTAAGCTTTCGACGTTGAATACCAAGACCCTTATTTTATACAACTAAAATAGAAACTTAAGGTTCAATCTGCTTTCTGTTTACCTTGAACAAAGGATATCTAATGTACATGAAGTCTTACTATAAAACGATGTGTCATAGGTGGAGAATATAATATTTCAAAGAACTGGTGTCATCCTTAGATGATACGTGTTACACATGTATATATGTTGTGTTTTTGGATATTTAAACTTATTTTGTGAAACAGAATTGTTTATTTTTTGGGTATATTGGTTTGTGTCAGTGTTGTTCAGCTCAAGTGTGTCACCATACTGCTGTCCACACATTTCAATTAAATCAGGGGCACACTCCTTTTGGTGTGTCTCTGGAGGGTTTCTGTCCTGACCTTCTGTCTGAGATCTCTAATATTTATTCTGTGTAAACACAAACGGCCCCGTAATCTTTCCAGAAAACACCGGTTCTTTCAGGTTGACCTCAGGTTCCACTCTACACGAGTCAATTTTTGGATGGTTTTCCAGACAAGTCCGTGCTGCCAAATAGAAGGCATTTAAACCTAAATCTGTCTGCCTAAAAAAAAACATTGCGTAATGGTGCATTATGGGTACGGTAGCTCGTCGAGGCTCCTGTCGTTCTTTCAAAAGTCCACAATGCGTGGGACCACGCCGGGCAAACACCGTTACGTTTATGGGTCGGGTGGCGAGGAAGGATTGTGTGATAAAGCATTTCCCCGTGTTTATAAAAAGGTACCTCTGTGTGTTCGTGCTCTGCCAAGCTGCCTGCTCCCCCTCAGGCCGCCTGCTGTGTCTGGCTTTGCAAGTTCACGCTGAGCCCTGGATTCTCCTGTAGGAACGCTGGACACTTGTTCACAACGCTTTGACTCACGGGTGATTTGGGGGAAGACTGGACCAAAGGAGTGCTTCAGTGTTGTACACAACGGGTGCGAGGGGGCAGCTATGATGATTCACAGCGCAGCCGGAGCTGGGAGTCACGTGACGCTCATCTAGGCAAGGCAGGAGGCACCAGGGAATTGGATATTTAGGGACGTGCTGTGGAAGGAAATTAGCTGTACATCTGTCTATCATGCTGGAATAATGGCAGCTGTAGGAACAGGGAAGGAGGAACGTGATCACGCGGCCTGCTGGAGTGTGTGAGGTTTCGTCTCATTCGCTTGCTTCACCTCCTTTGGCTCCAAGAACCCCGTTACCTCCAAGACCCCCTCTGTATATGGAAAAAAAGGAGCCAGGATTATCATTAAATATTGTAGCTGCGCTCTATAGTTTAACAGGCTCACACGCTACCATTAACATGGCTGCTCAACTCCTTCGTGGCGGGTCATGGTGCGGAATATCGAGGACTTCCAGGAGACGCCCGCGCCGAGTCTCATGCCACTAACGCCGGGATTGAGTGCCACGATATTGGTGCCTGTGTACGGTGTCCTTAGGTTCATTTTTAACTGTATGTTGTCTATTATTATCATTTATAGCAGGAGTTTTCAACCTGGGGTTTGCGATACCCTTGGGGATCCGTAGAACAGCCGGGCGATGTCCTGCAGAGATGTTTCATTATCAAACAATATTATGGCGTTATCATCTACAAAAAATACTCTCCTCCTCCTTTCTCTCCACTAAGAGGGAGAAATATACTATAGACATACTGTATATGTGCTCATTAGACAATTACATGGGGTCTCTTCTCATTGCAAGGTCCCTGGTTTAAGGAAACAGCTGATTTAGAGCCGGGAACCGAGATGATAACATCTTGAGGCGTGTAGCGTTCTTCCTGTGGCATCCAGGTTCTTCACGCGCCTGATCTGAGCTCAGGGCTGCACAGACCGGCAAGGAAGCCGTCCAGGCTGGAAATGGGGCAGAATGCTCCGAAAGTAGGCCAGCAGAGTAAGTAGTTTATTAAAAGAGCAGCACAGAGCGTTTCAGGCTTAAGGTCAACGTACAAATGCTGGCCAGCAGCTCCTGGGTCACACACCCCCCCCCACGCCCCCCCCTTACAGCCTAAGCCCCACTCTGAAACTCCCTTAATCTGCTTAACAGTCTAATACTCCATTTATCTTCATTAGTTTCATTCATATATTTTTTTTTCCATTCTATCTGCCATGTGTTGATTTAAGAGCTGAAACTTAATTGCATGAAGGAGCATATGGAGGATAAGACCTTGGGATGCAGTCTCAGGTGTCCTTTTCAGGTCCCCTTTTACGTGAATGCACGTTTTCTCATTAAATTATGTTACGGGTGCATTAAAAAGCCTGGCTGTTTTGGAGGAGGAGTTATGGCACGGTCTGGGGGGGACAAAATCGTCTGAAATCACACATGGACACAACCAAAGCAAATGATCATAGCTCCAGGCTTCCCTCCTCTGTTCACCAAGTTTGACAAAAGCCAGACTTTCATGTAGGACGATGCCATTCTGCTCCACATAATAAAAAAAGAAAGACATCAACAGCCAGAACAGCTGACGATCTCCCCTTCTGATTGGAAGAGAAACTAGATCAGCTCATTTAAATGCTGCCCTGCTGTAAAAAAGCTCCCTGGGGCCGGCGTATGGACAGAAAGGCGAGGACAAGAACATTTACAAAAGCCCCCAAAAAATGATTAAAAAAAAACATATAATATACCATCCTGCACCTCAACCCGAAAAGATTCATTTTGAAATGTTAAATGTGTGAGTTTTGGCGTGTGACCAATGGTCAAGGGAAGCAGGTTCGGTTTTTAGGGATGTTTCTGTGACCTTCTGAGCCACAGGACCAGTCACACATGGTCGGTGGAGCCTGGAAGGGGGACAGTGTACAAGTACAGCTGCAGGAGCTCCAGGGTCAACGGGGGCTGCTGTATCACGGCCGACCTCCCCAGCACACCGCCACAGCTGCAGCTCGAGTCCCACCCAGGCGGCAGAGCGCAAGGGGAGAGGGAGGGAGAGCAGGAGAGAGAGGGAGTGTAAAAAAAAAAAAGTAGGGCACTATTATCTGACTTCTTTTCTCAAACAGGAGACTGAGATTTGTGGGCAGAAAAGCTGGAGTGAAGCAGCGACGGCGGCTGCTGAGCCCAGAGCCCCGGGACGCCGCTCATGCTGCAGGAAGTGGCGGGAAGAGCAGGCGCTGAAGCTCAGGGACCCCCCAGCCTCACTCGCACACGGGGCCCCTCCCCGGCACGGCCATGTTCGAGGACAAGAGGACCAAGGTGAGGATGACCTTTCTGGTCATTCTGCTGGGCATCTCCTCCATGTTTGTGGCCGTGGTGTCAGACCACTGGGCGGTGCTGAACGCACGGGTGGAGCACCTCAACGCCACCTGCGAGGCGGCTCACTTTGGCCTCTGGCGGCTTTGTAAGAAGAGCATCTTCATGAGGGTGGAGGACCCTGGAGGCAGCAGTTGTGGCCCCATCAGCCTCCCCGGAGGTAAGAGCATGTCTCCTCTCTGCCCTGCCGCTGGTGCTGGCTAACAGGTGTGTGTGGTTAGAGCCGGCGATCACACAGTTCTTTCCTAAACCAGCTGAGCATGTTTGCTAGTTTACTGGATGCTGTGGTTCCCCTTCCTGGGCATCAACCAGAGGTGGAAAGTTCAGGTCCAGAGGGTAAAAATCCAGACCAGGGTTTTGCTTCAACCAACCAATCACGCATAAAGAGTCACAGTCACATAGTACTCAGCTGGTTGGTTGAAACAAAATCATGGTCTGGGTTTTTACTCTCTGGACCTGAACTTTCCACCTCTGACATGAACTAAACTTTGTTTTGAAAGCAAAGTTCCCCGTCTGCAATGCCACCTGCCTTACATATTAAAGAAGATCAGAAGCAACTGGAAATCTCCTTTGTATCATTCTCATTGTGTCTGATTATATTTGGAATGTAATTTCTGCACTTTCTGAAATGTCTGATCTTATTTCCAAGCTAAGAAAGTATATTTAAAAGCCGACATAAATGCTGATTACATTGTTATGTATATATATTTCTCAGATCTCAGAGAGTACATTTGTTACAAAATTGAACTGAATGCAACTTTATTGACCTATTTATTGATGGACTGCTGTTAAACTCTAAGAAGATACTTAATGCGGACACACAGATAATCAAATCAGTGACAGTATCCCCACTTGCCTGCGTGTGACGTCCCATTTCTCGGGGCCGGCTGGGTCTCCTGGCCCATGCAGGACCAACAGCTGCCTGTGCAGCCCAGATACCTCTGACCATTACCGGTCCATCACATTAAAAGTTTTATCTTCTCACATTGACCCAGAATCTCACAGTCACTCCTGACACAGACAAACTGCACATGGTTTTCACTCATCTCTGGTGGAACCACATTTCGTCTGTGCGCATGGTGGGCGGAAGGAGAAGTTCTGCCAGTTTTGTAGTTCTCACTTATCTGCATATCGTGTTATTTCATTGACATTTTATTACCACTGTATATATTTCTACATCTGATTTGCAAAGAGTCTAGTTATTACTGATTCAAATGCTTAGTTTTGTTCCACCATGGTGCAGGACTGTCCCTAACAAGCACTCTGTATGATTAGCAGGCTGCTCTTTTATTGTAGAAATAGGTGATTCCAGGTTTCATTATGCATACACACCTAGATCTGTGCTATTGTTGGTCAGCTGTTGGCGCCTCTCAATAATGGGCATGTCCAAGCTGCAGATAAAATGCATTACAGGTTCTAAGGGTGAAATTGTAGCCAAAACCCAGAGCTTCAGACAAGAGAGCTTAGAGAGATACAGAACATCCATATTTGGACTGGAACCAGTGGGCTTCTTGTGGTCAGAGTCAGAGGTGGAAAGTTCAGGTCCAGAAAGTCCAGACCAAGATTTTGTTTCAACCAACCAGCTGATTATAAAGAGTCACTGTGTTGAGTACTCAACTGGTTTGTTGAAACAAAATCTTGACCTAGATTTGTACCTTCTGGACCTGAAATTTCACCTCTGTTCAGAGTAATAGGTTGTCTTATTGTTCATCCCACTAGACCAGGGTTACCACCTAATCCATGTCAGTATACAAGGACAGGAAACTACCATTTCAATCAATTTGAACGGACTTGGATCTCACTTAAGCCCAGAGTTCTTGCTGTGTGCAGATTGGTCAGTCTCCTATAATCATGCATGTGTCACTAATGTTAATGTGACACAGCTGGATGAGTCTTTCAATCAAGGAAACAAACCAAAGCACAAGATGAACTGAAGTATTTAGCCAAGTACAGGAGCCTTCCAGTTTTGAAGTAGTTTGTAAAACCTGAAGTAACTCAAAGTGTCCTTCTTGATGAGTATCAGGCAGCCACTCTACACTGAAATGAAATCTTTACTTTTGTCTTTAATGGACAGTTGTGCACATGACAGAAATTTTGAGACCAGAATGTTGAGTCATGACAAGAATGTTGAGAGGCATGTCACCTTTACCGAGTCGTGACCTAGTCTCCGTGCCCCATTTATACAGTGCCTGTGGCTGTGATGGTGACACATCTGTCAGGAAGGACAACACCACCAAATGTGTTTCAGACGTGCGCTGCGGTGAGATTCTTAGTGTAAGCGGCCCTCGTGAAATGCACACCTTTACTGCCAGCCAATTTTAAAACAATCATTAAACACACGGTGACTTTAATGAGGATCCATCACACATCAGCAATCTGTTTAGTGTCTTTGTTTCCATAAGCAACTTCCCTGGAGTAAATGTCCCGGAACGGAAAGAAGGAAATGAGTTTTTGGACCTAGTGTGAAGCAGAAGGACGTCAGCATAGAAATGGTTGAACTGTCTGCTCTTTTATCTTTCTTTCAGCCAAAAACTGTTCCTACTTCAAACATTTCACTTCGGGAGAAGAGGCCGAGCTTTTTGAGGTTGAAACCCAGAAAGGCAGGTCATGTTTTATTTCATTGTACATTTTTGGGCTGTGAAAGATGTATAAGTGATTGGAACAGAAATCGAAACATCCGCTGTTGTTGCATGTGCCAATGCATTTCGATAACCTGAGCATTAAGCAGAGGTGTAAACCAGTCTGGCGGAGGGGACAGGGTTCATTCCCCATTTTGTAGCAGATATACTGATAGGGACATGCCAGTGGCAGTGTCCTCTACTTCAGTGGCTCTGTCATGATCCTGGTAGTGCCCATGAAGTGCTGGAGGTGCCACCCCGACACTGTGAAGCAGTAGGCACGTGCTGTGAGGCTCACGTGCAGACATGCAGCCACGTAGTAAAATTACGAGTTTGAAACTACCCCCCCCCCCAACCACCCCACCCAAAACAAATTTGTTTGCTACCTACCAGACACGTAGCCAGCTAGTAAAATAAAAAGTTCGAACCCCCCAACAAGGTTTGCTGGATCCCCCAAAATTCATTGCTGGCTACGGGAATGCTCACGTGCCTTGGAAAACCGGAACCATCCATATTATTGATGTCCAAACCCAAAATGAACATTATCCTTTATTCAACCTCAGTTTTATTAAATTTAAGAGAGGACGCAAAAAGCGAGAGCATCATATTTCTTAACCATTGTCATGAAATTTTTGAAGCGTGTCCCTGGATTTTTACGTAGCTTATAGATATGTTATGCAAGTGGAAAAAAAGTCATACACTTATTACCAAGCATTATTTTTTTCTTCACCAGTATCCAAATGCATATTTTAATGTAAATCAATATACTGTTCATTTTTAAACTAAGCGAAACAACGTTTAAACTCAACACGCTTGACTTCCGCCTTCCGGTTAATGCTTCTCCTCAGAGTACAACATCTCAGCGGCGGCGATCGCCGTCTTCAGCCTGGCCTTCATGATGCTGGGTACCCTTTGTCTGATAGGGTCCTTCGGAAGAGGCAGGGACTACCTGCTGCGGCCGGCTGGCATGTTCTTTGCTTTCGCAGGTAGAACCCCGGAAAAACAAGCCTTTGATTAATTGAGCCGAGCGGCGTGCAGTTGTTGCAAAGCTGGCGTCAACAGCTGGTAATTAGTAATTAGGAAGGTTATAGTCTTGGCCTATAACACAGTTGTAAAAACATATTTAATCAACTGGATACTTATTCCACGTCGTACATTCATTACACAAATCTGCGTTTTGTAAATTATTTTCATGAAATAGGCCTATGTTAGACTCAAATCTCTCGATCTGTGCCAAAACCCTGCGCTGCTCCATCAGGTCTGTGCATAATCATCTCGGTGGAGGTGATGCGACAGTCCGTGAAGCGCATGATCGACAGCGACGAGACCATCTGGATCCAATACTACTACTCCTGGTCGTTTGCGTGCGCCTGCTCAGCCTTCGTCCTCCTCTTCCTCAGCGGCATCGCCCTTCTTCTCATCTCCATGCCCCACATGCCCCGCAATTCCTGGGAGACCTGCATGGACGCCGAGCCTGAGCCTCTGGATTAGGAGACGAAGGTGCAGCTTCAGTAGGCACGTTTGGTTTAGGTCGTAATTGTAACAGTTTGATGACCCACGTCATGTTTGTAACAAATAAAGTGCACTACTACGGAACAAGCAACATTGCTCGTCCCAGATTATAATGGCTTTTGTTGTAACTGTTCTTTAAGGCTACTGTTTCTGCGCGATTGCCACTACGGAAGAACACGTGGACTCCTGCGTAAATTGTGAATCACCTTTCCCACAGACACATAATAGTAATAAAAAGGAAATTATGGATGTGGTTAATATTGCATGTGGCACGTCCTGCTGTCATTCTTACACATTACTCTAAGAGAATAATTGATTTGTGGTCTGTCTGTCGCTAGCATGGCCACAATTAGCCTACGCGTAAAGCGAAAACTAGACAACATATATACTACGCAAAAATCACGATTGGTGCTTTAAATGACTGACACACAGCAAGCTAGCGCCCATAGAGACGGACCTGCAGGATGAGTAGCCTGTGGTCTGGGTTTACTGCTGTGTTCAGTGCAGGTGTCTTATGCTCAAATATTCAGTGCGTCTTTTGTAGGTATAGCTTAAAAAACAAAAGGTTCGGGATCTTTAAATGCAGTTCTAGCAAATCTTTAATCATTTGATCTTATTTTATTATAATTTTAAGAAATAAAGAAACACCTTTTCCCTACTAAAGTAACTTGGCTTACTTATAAACGGGTTCTGTGTTATAGCCTACTGTAGAACGTTTTCCCATTTTTCAGAGCAAATACTTATTACAGATTAAAACTTGAAAAGCATGTGTTTGTTTCATTTATAAAATCAGGTTAAATTCTACTTTTTCAGTAGCCTAGTTGTTTTTAAATTAGTGGTGTCGAGATGCCCGGTCCATTTTGAGTCATCGCGTAGATTGTGATTAAATCCCGTGTTAACAATGGATTTTTCTTGCGATATTAAGCAAATCATTGGTTTTAGGCATTTTCAGTGCTCACACATGGCATGGCGGTTTTCAGGGAGGAAACTATTCACGAGGTATTTTTTTATATATAGCTAAGCAAACTAAGTGCAAATACCGTTCGCTTTAAACAACCGAATGCAAGAATTGTGTGTTTTATTACGGGTTTCAAGCAAAACGGCTTTTGTATTTTTGAAAAGCAACGTTATTCTGTAGTTTACTCTTTTGATACAGTAACTTAGAAGCCATTGCTTCCGTCAGGTCAGTTTTTTTTTCTCGTCCAGATGTGTGTAAAAGAGATAAGAGGTTGTTTACGAGGTACATGTCACATTGGGTTTCGCGGGGGAAAGGAAACTGGAAGATACCGCCCTACAAATGTGCCACTAAACTGTATATCAAACATCACAACAAACTTCTTTATAAACGTAAAATTTATGTAAGCAAAGTGTTGTCTTTTTAATGAAGATACATTTATTGTGAACGTGCAATTGTCTTTTATTGTACTTTTTAAATAAATAGAATTATTCAGAATACTCAGTCACTTTCTGTATCTTTTTTTTTTTGTTTAATCCAAGGAACTTTCTAGGATGTTACAAGGTGAATTATGTAAAATGTTTACAATTGTATAAATGTGTCGTTTATTACAATTTAGAAATCATTTTCAAAGTTTGCACCTCTAATCAGTCAGAAATCTCCCAAGGGTGGCTTGTATAATCAATATAACCACGCATATGAAATATACATGTTTATTTTAAGTTGACAATTGCCTGGCTTTCTCTGGCATTTTGGGTTTTATATGGATGGTACCGATAAGGATATAAGAGCATGTCAGTCATGCATTCAGCCTTATAGGCAGCTAAGAAGTTCAGGACCAAGGACAGCATTTAAGATCAATAAAAGATTTAGCACCGTGGACAGAGTCCATCTCGCTCATGTCATAAACACCTCGGGCAGCTGAATTAACAAACATGCTCCGCCTTATATCCTGACCTAACCCACGTCCATCAGAGGAGATTTTTAGGATCACTACAGTACAGAGCCTTTCTTTCGGCACGTGGTCTCGCCGTGGCAACAGACATGAATCCGTACTTCAGAACCGGTCTCTCGCATTCCGAGACAAGTACTGTAAACGATCGCTGGAGGAAAAAGAAAATAAGGAAGAAAAACTGTTGATGTTGCATCGACAGCTACTGCATTGCAGAAATAAATACATAAAAAATACATGTGGTCATTTGGCTTCCCCCCCAGATTTACAGACTTGTTAAATAAAAGCCAGTTTGCTGTTATTTCAGATTGGCAAAAGGCTGGACTTTAATGAGTATGAAAAGACCTGACTCACTCTCCTGGGACCTTCTGTCCAAACAGACCAACCAGAGAGGCTTTGGGCTCCTGCTTAGTGTAGCCACACTGATCTCAGGGGGCTGCTGTCCTGTCTGAGTGACCTGGATCTGCACTGACAGGACAGACAAACTGGACTAGAATCAGTTTTGGGTCAGTTGAGAAAGTATTACTTTGTACTGAGCTGGGCCCTTCCACCACCTCAGATACGGAGTCATTCTGTATTCTCGCAAACCCCTAGGATGGGCAAATGTTGATGTGACTGGAAAAAAAACATTTAAAAAATCATCGATATATATCTGCTGTCAACTATTTTTTGTATTTGATGGCAAAAAAGATTCCTGCGATGGAAATCAGAGTGTTAACCTATCCTTCAATGAAATAACTGCAACAGTTTAGTTACATATTTCTTATTAAAATTAACAATGTTTTACTCTGAGCATATAAAAGTTCATTATATGGGAAACAAATGACAGCTTGGTTCCATCTAGTGCCCAAAGAATTTATTGCAAAGTTTAACACCATTATGCCAGCCTGTGGGCTTTATAAATACTGTATATGCCAATCTAATCAGGTTTCATATAATAAAATGAATTATGCGCTGTGGAATTCTTCTGAGAAACACACAATTACAACAGTTCTAAACTACAATAGTGAGGTTACAAAATGAACAGTATTATGAATTCAGACAGTCCAGAGATGATAACGTGTGTCATTGTAAGATGCGGTTTCTCTGTTTCAACCTCTAGAACAACAGACATAAGTAAAACAGAAAACTTTGTGTGCATGGCCAGTGTAAATGGACAGGGGAATGGACGACTGCGTGCTTGTTGTGGATCCGTATGGATTTAAAGACTCGCACGGGACCTCCTTCCCCAGACAAGTGGGAATGAACCAGAAATACTGGTGGAGACAGAAGCAGAGACACTGGGAAGGGGCCCCATTGCAGCCTACACTGCCAGTACTATGGGCTTGCCCAGTGGTCCTGCTGTAATGTCAGCCGGCATCCCCACCATCTATCTTCCAACCAATTATCCCAGTGAGGACTGCAGGGGGCTCTCTAGCCTGTCCTGGGGTGCACAGCACACAGGGCAGGGATCCAGTGCTACACCCCAAATGGGATGTCAGCTCACTGCAAGTCACAGCATGCACATTGGGTAATGTAGAGCAGTGTGCATTATGGGTAATGTAGTGGTTCCAGTTAAACCCAACTGCAAATCTTTGGACCGCAAGGTATATTAGCAGGATGTGTGAGGATCCTCCACACTCCGCACACACAGAACAGGGAGAGGATTTGAACTTTGAACCCCTAACCTTGGCTGTGTCAAACTATCCCCCACCCCCACCACGTATTATAGCCTCACGTGTTAGGCTATAATACCTTTTGTGCTTAAATGAGCCTCCACTTAAAGCAACACCAAACAGCTCAATTTTACCAACAATTTCAGCAATTCACAGGGCATGCAGGCTGATCTAGTGATTATCATTCTCCCAGGAGCCGCGGCGATTTGCTGCTCAGGGTCTGACCCTTTAACCCCGTGTCCAGCTCCTTAATCACTGTGAAGCAGTACCGCCAATATGATGGACAATTTGCGAACACATACATCTCCATGGTTAAAAAAGAACATGCATAATTCAGAGCTCATTCATAATTTATGGAGTCACTGTAGGTTCTCTCTTTATGCGAGGCGTCTGACTGAGGACAGCTTACAGAATCCCTCTAGTCACCAAGCAACAGTTACACATAGGCAGGAATAAATCACAGAACACTGACTTCAAAAAATCCAATTACATATTATGTATCTTGCTCAGTTACTTTACAGTGCCTGTAAAGTACATTACTATCATCTATTCACCTTCTATGTTAAATAACACTTGATGGGAAATAACACTAATTATCTCATGTAACCTCAGATGTTCAGCTGCAAGGCTCTCCCATGACCTGGGATCCACACAGGAGATTAGGAATAAGGCAGGAAGGTGAGTCACATTCTCTGCAACGCCACATTCAGGGATTTTTTTTTTTTAACAGACCGTGTAATTGAAATAAAACAGGTACTGGCATGTGGAATATTAGACAGACAGGTTGCCTTTCGAAGTTCCAGTCACATTTATTGTGACACATTTAATTAACCAGGCTCCTTCTGAATCGCTAATTAAGGAGGATGTTTTGATACAGGCATGCCGAACACTTCCCCGTATAGGGGCTATTTGTGCCGTGTTTACGTCCCTGTCGCAGCCAGCAGCTCATTACCCGCGTGCTCTTTCTTAGCCGTGACAATTACCGCTTTATTTTCGTATATCTGGGGGCCTTTTGGCCAATGCTGTGTTCGCCTACATTGTGTCGGTCTCAAAAATTCTGCAAGGTTGAACGACTCTGTTCTATGACTATGATGACTTGGGATGGAATGACTGACCTATTTTCCTGATTAATAATCAGGTCATTTTCCATCTTTTGCTGTGGAGATTTGGCTAAAATTTTCGTAATTAGTCTTCAGTTATTTGTATTATTATTTTTTTTTTTGAAAAATGGTATTTCATAGAAGCATCTAAAATCTTAATAGAAACTATTCCTCTGTGTTAGTTAATGGCTCAGTTGTTATACTAGAATATTTTGTAGTTTAAAGCATTGATGTGTGTTAGTTAATAACCCAGTTGCTATGCTGCAATATATTATAGTTTTAAAAAATGTTAACTGAGAATTTTTTCATATTTTCGTATTTTCATTGTTGTCTTTGAAAAGCTCACACCAAAAGCGAGATGTAGGCATGAAAATGGAAAAAAGAAGTTTGATCAGTTCTTCTTACATCATAGGCGCTCAGATATGATGGAGGACGTGAGGTCATCGTGTCCAAGATTTTAACATCACGTTCCGTTGTCTGTGAACTGATGTCATAAAGTGTATATTTATATTCCGCAGAGAAGACGTAACAATTTAGACACTACGGTGTTCAAACACAGCCGACACTAAAATAAATTTGATGTGATGTTACTGACATTTCTGGTCATTACTAAAACTCTTAATTACACAGTAGCGGCGATTTCCAAGCGCGAACTTGATGCACTAGAACAAAGTGCTACACATAATGACCAACCAATACATTAAGCAATGAACCACAGACTATTAATTAGCCTGTATGTGGGTTGCTGGTGTCTCTTTAACTTCATATGGCAATATTATATGTATGCTTGTATGGTATGTTATATTACTTAATGAAACGTGAAGCAAGGTTGTCTCGAAAACTGATACAAAACTAAAATACCAAACGCGTCTGTAAGAATTTACTTACGATATTATTATTTAGATTATATTTACATTATTGATCTAATATATTCTGTTTTGCGAATATGATTTATATCGCTACCGCGTTTAGCCTTAAAAGCAGATCGTTCCTGACACCTTGTGGCTGAATGCTGACTCTGCAAGTGAATTCCATATTGACACTATCGAAGGAAGAAGCTAAGTTTTGAAACCTCCTACGTACGGGATTTTTTTCGGCGATTTCAGTCACCGCGTGGTGCTTAACTTAATCCGATCCTCTTGGTTTAAACCAACCTGCATCCCATTTCATTAAGTACAGGGCACAAGCCACGGATGCACCATGAATTTTAGCTCCTGGTATGATATACTTGGTGTTGATGGATTTTTACGTCTCATAATGCAAGCTGTGTAAGTTGGCATGGTCATCTATCCCCGAGATATTTAGTCATAGATTTCAGAAGGAATCATTATTATTCAGCTCCAAGTCGATGTAACCTCCTGATTGTCTTCCGTCTGAATCTTCGGAGTTCACAAAGGCATATTCATTGTTGGGGTGACTTTGAGTCTCTCCTGTTTATTGCCTGTTGGCTTCTGATTCTTTTACCTTCTGTATCCAAATCATGGGGTCACTCATAATATTTCCAAAATAATACAAGCTTCAGTCTGTTCAGTTGTGCTTCAACTGTGAGTCTGCTGGTGTGTCACCATTTTTTCTGTGGCCCGTGGTATTCTTACAAATCTTCGGCAGCACCAGAGGTCAGAGACATCAATATTCTCCGTTTTCTGTTTCTTTGTTGTCTGCCTTTGATGTTTATAAATAGTCACGGAAAATACAATATTCTGAGTGAGGTACCCAATCTAGTGGTGTATTTCCAGTTATTAAATAAGCTTAGCTCAAAAACAGCCCAATGTCTTGCTTTATACCTTTGCTCCAGGCCCATTGCAAAGTACTTTAGAAAGACAAAAAATAGAAGAGATGAACCCCCATAATGAAAGACATGACACCAGTTTGGGTACTGCACCTGTCACCTGGCCTTCCTCAGTTTGGGTACTGCACCTGTCACCTGGCCTTCCTCAGTTTGGGTACTGCACCTGTCACTAGGCCTTCCTCAGTTTGGGTACTGTCCCTGTCTCCCGATCTTCCTCAGAACACCCCAAAACTAACTGTCCAAGCAGTCAGGGCCTGTGACTTGCAGAGGGGCTGAAAGTCCATTTGGCTGGTATGCGTTACCCACCTGTGTGCAGCACTGTCAAACCAAGTATTCAGAGTACATTCACAATTATGCATTTCAGTTGAGCAAAACTGTTTTCAACAAAAGTGCAGGTTTAAATGCCACAGATAATTACTGTACTCATTAAACCAGACTGCAATGAAAACGGATGTAAGAGCCTGTAGACATGAAGTTTGTGACATCTGGCATAAAGCTTCTGGACGGCATGTACTCACATCGCTCATTCATCCTCATCATGTGGTGAGGTCTTATTGGATTATTTTGCAGCAGCAGATGTGAAACAATCAACCATCCCCAAGAGGCAGTATTCCAGTTAGTCAAGCCACACTGATGGGGACTCCAGATCCTTTAGGTCACACTGCAACTAATACGCATCTGAAGAAGCACAAGGTGAAACCTATGCATGCAAGCAGGTGGGGAACCCTTAGCTGAAGCAGTTCAGGTATCACGTAAATGAGATGTGACACGTGCTTTTCCAGTTATCTGATTCGCATTTTACCTTCACCTGTTAACGATCGGGAAACCAACCCCCCCCCCCCCCAACCCTGCCTTCCACATGCGATCCTTACCTAAGGCCTGGTTACTATTTTTGTATTTTGTGTTGGAGAAGAAAAGTACTCATAACATAAGATTCCAGTAGTACCTATTTTTTCAGCCCTTTAAGTTCACACTGTATAAAATTGTGTCCATCATTCTTGCCAATGATCCCAAATTGCAGAACTCACTTTAGGCTTGTTTGTAAATCTGCTGACTTGATTGTGTTCCATCTTCTGGAATATTCCCAGTGCTCTGACTGTGGGGTGGCCCTCCTCAGGTACCGGCAGCTCAGGGGTGTCAAACTCCAGTTCTGGGGGGCCAGAGCCCTGTAGAATAGGAAGGAACTAAGCTACACTGGGCTTCGGCCCCCCAGGACTGGAGTTTGACACCCCTGCTCTAGCTCATTCTCATCCACCTGAGACACCCAATGCATGTACTCAGTGGTACTGAACCTCCGCAATACTGGAGATCACACCTTTCTCTTTCATCTCATAAAACTGGCGCGGATGCTAGACTTCAGAAAGAGGGATGAGAGTTCGACTGAATTTGACGATTTTCTCCAGGTTCACCAGATCAGACTGTTTGTTTCAGACTCAGGGTAACAGTTACCTAAAGGAATCAAGCACCCTCACGCAGCAGCAACGGAAGCTGGCCGCAATTCCTATGCCGTGTTTTATCCATCCATAACATGCAGAGCCCATTCTAGGGACACTGGGGGCCCGGGCAAAAAACTGTACAGTGCCCCTCCAATGCCCCCCACCCGACATGGTAAAATTTATGACTATTACTAGTGTGAAGTCTAAATTTATAATATCAACAAAGAAAATTTAATAAACACAATTCTTTCATTTTCACTTTACTGTGAAAAACAGAATACACAAATAGAGCAGATTTGTCGTTGTAATGTACTATGTAATCAGCCCAGCTTGAGGGCCTTGGGCGATTGCCTGCTCTGCCAGTCCTGGCCCTACGCCTCTGATAGCATGCAAACAGTACAGCATGAATACCAGGCATTGCTGAACCTTATTTCTCTATAATCGTTAACTGCCGAAGGTGGCTGTTATAGAAGAACATTCTGGAGCTCTGCTTGTTGCTGTTGGCTGCTGTCTTACAAGGTGCACAGACACATAGTATAACAGTGTTTGCATATCCCTTATTTTGGTACCCATGAATAATTTATTTGAAAAATTCCAGCTTGGACTCGATAAGCAGGCACATCACTGTTCAGCTCTCCCTGCCAGTCGCACCTGCACCATGTCATGCGTGCAGGTGTTAGCTGGTCAGAGTGAAATACCTGCCAAAGATCAGACTCATCATTTTTTCACAGTCAGCCATGGAATTGCATTGATAAGTGAGTCAGATAGGAACAGACATTCTGAGAGGTTCATATGTCCATTTTAAAACATGTTAATTGTCAGATTTTTCCCCAGATGTTGCACAGCGTAAATATGAATAAGACTGAAGAACAGTTACTTTAAGAAGTCTAGGGAAGTGTAACTTAATGAATGACGAAATATCTCCATTCTACTCGAGCTTCACGCCCTGTTTCTGGAAGAACTTGGTCTAGATCTTCAGGGTATTAATCACACTATTTTCAGGTATCGTTTCTGATTTCCCCGTTTCGCTCCACGTTCCTTCGATGCTTGATTTCCAACAACCTATCGAATTCGTCGTTCTTGAAACGTGTATTTAAGTAACACAGGCCTACAGTACAGATATTTAAGAGAACACTTGACTATCACTAAGTCATACGCAGCTTTATTTAAGTTCACTTTATACGACATAATTATTTACGACGACAAGAAGCAATTATTGACTTAGGTTTTACCGATAAATATAGATATGATGGGTGCAAATGACCCGATTTGTGCTTAAATGGATAAGGCGTCGGCTCTGGCATTCCGACTGCGTACCTGGGACTGGCTTATTGCCAGGTTTGGTCAGCTGGCTGGGGTGAGCTTTTCAGTTTGTCTGTTTCGTTTGCAAATGTATAGCTTTACTGCTAGATCTGCTGGTAAGTAACGGAAACCGCCTGACGAAATTCGGCTGAGAGACCCTAAAGAATATATTATGTCTGCGAAAGACTGTTTTTCGGAGTTTTTTCCCTTCTTTTTACGTTGTAGTCGAACAAAAAATATTCATTTTGCTTCTCGCAATTTGTCTAAATCATAAATACCGTAGTTGTAATAACAGGAAAGGTGTTTCTGTGGAACACACGGGGACTACACTAAGATGTGCAGCCTAATGTTTGGCAAGAGTTCCTACATAGTTACTTCATTAAATGAAAGTTGGGCAGATTTTCAGATACGAAATTTATACAAAATACTGTATAGGCTACCATAAATAATGACCGCCAGCCGCATATTCCAGGATACCATTACAATATAGGCTACAGTAGCAAATGATTTTCACCTATTACAGTAATTATTTTAAATTATCGACTACTTTACGCGGCAGGGAAATGTAATTGCATCACATAAAATGAAAACAAGAAAAGAGTGAAAGAGGAAAAATTAAATGGTGAAAATATGTTTTATCGAATGTCAGTTGTCAGGGCATGAGTAATGTCGCTGTATCACACTTTTCCTAAAAGTTTCTTTTTTTAAGAAAGCATTCGCCGTTATTTGGGCAAGTGTTACAAGGAAATTAGTATTTAAAGGTCATATTTCAAAAAACATATATAGACAAGCAATCAACTTTCCCGGTACGGAATTTGTATTAGTTCTCCCCGTCGTGATGTCTGTATGGATGCTCTCGCAGGCTGTATCACCGACACCTAGCAGCTTCTGGATGAAAGCAGCGGGAAACACCGCGTCCTGCACGATCACGAATAACAAATCGCTCTTAACCGTGCGACTAAAGAGCGGCTCTTTGCTTGTCTAACTGTAGCGGAGGAGCGACGGCGTTTCCGCTCTCATTCCCGCGTGCTTTAACGTTCTGTCCTGTTCCGCGTACACAAGATGCGCCGTCCACCCCCCACCACCCCCCCCGGAACAGTTCGTGATCACAGTTTGAGTGTGCTATCCAGCCTGCCTGCTTGCGACGCTCTTTAAACACATGATCCGGCCCGGGGACATTGCTTTAAAAGAGCATTTAATAAAAGGTCTGTCTTTGTTTTATAAACCATTGCTGTGCACAATATCGGAACTTCAAGAATTGCGTACACTCTGAACACCGTTGGAATTGCCAGAATATGCTGATGAAGGAATACAGAATATGTATGCCACTAACGGTGGAAGAGGTAAGATGCGCTTCATATATTAGCGGAATATTTATCAATGGCAGTAACCATATGCTTAAGTAACTGTGTTGCGCAACATTTCAGCGTGTGCTTCAGACTTTTGCATTGGATTCATGCAAACGTTGTGTTTATCCACTGAAGGTTATTGTTTTTCTTATGGTTTACAGTGCATGGGTATATTACTGTTGTGCTTATGGTTGTTGCACAGTAAACAGAGTGATAAAACTGACTAATTCGGGGTGATATTTGAGCAAGGTATCTTGCTGCTGATATTTCCTATCAGACCATATCTGCCAATATAATTTCCTAAAATACACCAGATGCATTACAATGTGCTTCATAACGTTAATAACGTAATATTTGGTGCTAGAAATGAAAAAGGAGTATGTGTGCTGTACAGTTGTTATTTTACAAATACTTTTTGATTTGATACTTTTATGTCTATTTCATTGATTTTTAATGTTAGCCTACAGCTGTCAACCTGAATCGGCGCCTTTCCCGTTGTGAACTTAAATATTCCATTTTGGTTTTGAATTACAGAGCAAGGCCACTTGCTGGCGCTGTCGGAACTTAATCATTCAATGTCAGTGAATGAAAATTGATCTTTGTTGAAATTTTCACAAGAGATACTTTCTTTGTCACGCAGTTGCCTTGTCCACAAAATGCACGCGAAACACCAAAACAGCTTATCAGCCACGCGGGTCTATATTGCACTGCTGCAGCCACCTGTTAAGCGCTAAAGTGTATTAGATACGAATGTATTCGTAAAAACCCACCAAAAATTTATCTATTGAATAATCTGTTTTGGTGATGATGGGTTGTGCGGTGGGGGACGGTTGTAATGTATAGTTCACGTTCTCAGGTGATCTCTATGTTGTGGTATATAACCACATGTCACTTGTGTGTTTTTCGTACCTCATTGGCTCTTTGTGGGGCGGAATTCCATCAGGCAGGCGGTATCGGGTGTAAAGTGCGGCATTACGTGATTTTACTATGTGAATTAATCTAATCTTTGGGAGACACCGCTGCAATCTATTTAATTTCCTTAACCTTACAATTTGCTTTGAGATGATGATGATGATGATGAGGACTGCAGGTCTCTCTATCTTGCGGTGGCTGAACAATCATCCATCCATGAGTCCTAAATGAAATTGTTTTTGTTTATGGCCTGAAAGAGGAATTCTGCTTCTCAGTTGTTCCAAACAGGGGACTGTCAGCATCAGTAGGGTCTCACAATCCCCCCCCCCCCTCATTTGTTTACATGCTGTATCTCTGCATGTGTTTATTCAGACTTCTCCATGGGTCTTATTCCGGACTATATATAGGTTCCCTACTTAACTGCGGCCATTTTTGTTTTGTTTCCATGGTGGAGTGGATTATTCTGCTATGGAAAATATTGTAAAGGTTGCCATTGAAAATAGCCCCAATAGAGGCGCTGTTATTAAAATAACTGTTTGACATGTGCTTTTTGGAAACTACTAAGACCCCTCGCAACAAAATAGCTTATATTTACCAGTATTCAGGTTTTACTTATTTATTTTTGCCATGCCTATATTAGTTTTATGTATATTTATCATTACTGAATCATTTTCAGAGAGATTAATAATTAAATATTTTACAAAAACATGTGGTTTAAATTAAACTCAGGAGCATGTATTTTGTCTCCATAGCAGAAGGATTTTCCACTATCAAAGTTTCTCGATTTCCCACGGGTGAATACACACAGTGTATATCGCTGTTTGCCTTCTGCACATCAGTTGCGCTCTGATTTTTCATAATTTTGCGGATGATAAATTGTGTATCACGAAGAATGTTGATAAGAGACTGAAAACTGGCTGCGTTTGTGGAGAAGAATTCAGAGCGTTTGTTAAAAATCTGTTAAGTAGCTTAATAAATTAATTGCTGCTTAGCGGTAAGTAGCGTAATAGCCAGGGGACCTAACTGCTGCTGGTTACGCCAGCTTAAGTAAAACAGTGGCATCAGCCAGGAGTCTATGCCGGACACGTCTTCCATGTTAACAGGAGGTGGTAGGGGGGCGACGGCGAGTGCAATCAGCGGCGCTGGCCGCGCTGCCCGCCTGCCGGTGCGGGGTGTAACGGGCAGCCTCACCGGGACGCTTCGCCCAGCCCCGGTCAGGCTCGCTGATGAGCGCCTGGCTTATGCTTTCTGAGGAGCACCGCGATGTCTCGGCCTGAGATCGCCCTGCATCTTGATTAACTGAAGACCGGCTGCATCATCTGCTCACGCTTGGCGGCCCCCCTCCCCGGCCCTTGACATTTCTGTATTGATGCAGAGCGGAGGGTCGTGCACTGCTGTGATTCACAGGCGGGAGCGGATTTCTCAGCGCCCTTTCCGTTCCTAATTAATGTGCATAGACCCACCGAGGGTTTATTAACAAGCAGCCCCGTTATTCAGATACTCTAGTAAAACGAGAGCACGTGAATGAGCGATCGAGGTGTCCCAGCCCGAAGAGCTCTCCTGCTCGGCTGTCCTCCCACTCAAGGACAATGAGTCTCTCTGATGGGCGCAATATCCTTTCCCTGTATAATTATACCCCTCCCCCGCTTTTGGGCAAATACAGCAGTTCCCAAACTGAGCAAACAATCCCACGTCGCCTCGGCACATCCACTGTATCTTTTTCGAAATTGGGGCCAGCGCCCGGCTAAACTTTCTCGGCGGTTAAAACAGAAGCGCCCGGCGGGGCGCAGATGGTGCCGGATGGCCGGCTTTCGAACCGCATCTGCCTCACGCTCCCCGCTAAATCGCAGGGTTTAAAGTGTCGCTGCTCTCCGGACTCTGATCTGCTCTGAGCGAGCATAGGATATGATGGTATATGCTTTCATTTAAGTGGGGTCCCACCCCCCCCCATAACAATAAAGCATCTCGAAAAAATGTCCCTGTTCACATGTCACAGGCCATCGCAGAATTACAACGCCACGCGGGGCAGTTGCTGATTTCTTTCATAATTTCTTTCATGATTTGCCTGTTTTTTTGCTACTGAAATTATACGGAGCGCGTCTTCAGAGGCACTGGAGCGAAGTTCATTAGCATAACCAACACAGTTTAGTGCAGAAACCATGTGTGTGTGTTTTTTTTGGAAAGTGCTAGTTAACACCAACAGGGAGTGTTTATTGCGGCCTTCATCTAAAAGTGTGGATGCAGTCATGAAAACAGGGCCCCCAGCGATACTGTAATTTGTTTGTGAAACACGGGAAGGCTTCTCATCTGAGATATACTGACAGACAAGAGAAAGGACGTCACCGTGTTTTCAGTATTGGGGGCGACAGGGACGAGTCAGTCCGTCCTCACATTATCCTCTATGAACTCCTATACTGTACCCATGTTTAAACTACCCGTCGGCAGCAAAGCAGTTTGACAGAACATTAAACAAACAGCTTAGCCAAATCCACGACTGACCATATAAGCCTGATTAAGGTAGGGTTGGAATGAAAAACATTTCGGCAGAGGGGGAGCCAGGAAGAGGATTGAGAACCACTGCGTTAGTCTGTAGTTTCAACATTACCAGAAGTAGCATTTCATTTTATCTATCTGCTTTGACCAAAGGTAGCTGCTGCGTGACCTTTTCAAATTACTGGAGCATCAGCAGCCGCCTGACAGTGAAACAACCAATCACAGCAGCGCAGAGTCTAGAGCGTCCCTCCCAGGGTCCCTCTGGCTGATCCAGTCTAGCACCAGCCATGTCACTGTGCCCACAGTCTGTTTCAGCACCGCATGCTCTGGGTCATTGATAAACATTTCCATAAACCAGGGGTGGGTGATCTTATCCAGAAGGGGCCGCTGTGTGTGCAGGTTTTCGCTGCAACTCCCTGATTAGATTACTAATTAGAGGACTGATTGGCTGGATAGGATGGGATGTGTCCCACCGGTCCCCACCATAAGTAACACATATGTTTGTCAGACCCTGTAGCACCTGTGACATCACCCCTGAATGGCTCCTGTAGCATCTGTAACATCACCCCTGATTGGCTCCTGTAGCATCTGTAACATCACCCCTGGTTGGTTCCTGTAGCATCACCGCTGATTGGGTTCTGGGTTGCTCTGGAGGCATGTGGAGCTTAGCAGGCATTCTCTAGCCCTTCATTGCTTCAGCCAACAATCCTTTGGTATAATTCTTCTCTTGCCAAGCTTTCTCATAAACACACAGATTATCCAGTGAAATGTCTAAAAAATATATTTTCTTGGACTGTATTTCTTCTCTTATTCCAGTAGCACTTCCAGCAGCCTTGGGGTTATAATTCAGGTTTCTTGCTACCTGCTGACTCGCTGTTTTATTCCCATAATTCTTTCTCCACAGATCCACAGTTTTGTAGTTAAGAAAATTAACCTCACTTGTTCCGAAAAGCATATCTGTGCAACGGAGTTGCCTGCACCCATATACACTGACCTAGGAATAGAGGTAAGTAGTTCACGTCCAGAGAGTAAAAGTCCAGCCCAAAATTTTGTTTCACCCAACCAGTTGAGTCCTCTGTGACTGTGACTCTTTATACGCAACTGGTTGGTTGAACCAAAATCTTGGGCTGGACTTTTACTCTCTGGAACTGACGTATACCCACCTCTACCCAGAGAGAACCTAAGTGGGAGAAGCTGCAAAACTGATCCTGGAGTTTAGCTGGAGTTCAGCTGGAGTTCAGGTGCCCTGTATCCGGGCAATAATCCTTCACACTGCTGAGGATCACACTGTGCTCCATGCCCCAGAAGGCCATTGGGTATGTGTTACACTGTTTTGGGGGGGGTGTGGCTTAGTCGGTTAACATACTGTGTCTGAGATTGGAAGGTTGCTGGTTCAAATCTCAGGGTCAGTACAGTGATTTTGCTGTAGGTCCCTTGAGTAAGACTTTCTCTCCCTGCTTTCTCACAGAACAATGTATGTGACTTTAAATATAAGTCTGCTACAGAAATAAAATATGGAAGTTTCTTTATCGGTAGCTTTTGTTTGTGCCTGTGCGGCTCTGGATAGGCTTCAGCCCCCCCCCCCCCCA